CTCACCTGGAAGCGCAGGCGGGTCTTGCCCTGTCCCGGCTCCTGAGGGGCTGCGACCTGGGGCTGCCCCGCCTGGGGCTCGGGGGCCTCCACCGGGCCTTCCTGCCGCGGGGCAGCTGCCTCCTCCTCCGCCACCTCCTGCTGCTGGGGCGGCCGCGGCTCCTGCGGCTCCGCGCTGCTCCCCGGGGGCTGCTCCCAGCTGGCCCGCACGGCAGCCGCCTCAGTGCTCTGCTGCTCCTCTTCCTCGGCGGCCGCCTCCTCCGGCTCCTCCTCGGCCGCCTCCTGCCCCGGGTCCTCGGGGCTCGGGCTCCTCCAGGAAGGTGGTGAGTCTGCGGGACGCCATGGGCGAGTACACGGCGATGGTCCTGGGGAAGCGCACGGGCCGGCCGCTGGTGGTGGCGGGGCTGCCCTGCTCCTGCTCGCGGGGCCGCAGCGAGGGCAGCCCAGGGGCCGGCCGCCGCCGCAGAAGCAGGGTGCGGGGCCCCAGCGAGCACTGCACCGAGGCGTCCTGCCGCGGGTTCACCTGCACCCCTACCTCCTTGGTGTTGGCCTTGCGGAGCCGCGGCGTCAGGCTGGGGTTCACCTGGGACAGGATCGCCTTCAGCTGCGCCCGCTGGTAGTTATCGAAGTACTCGGCCGCGGCTGCCGCCGCTGTGTCCCCATAGCTCGAGAAGTAGGTGCCCCGCTGCCGCCAGGCGCCCGGAGGCCCTTTGCCCTTGGGCGGCTGGTAGCGATAGGAGTAGGGGGTGTAGGCTGAGTACAGGTAACTATCCATAGCCTCGTCCGCCATAGCGCCTGTCCCGGTAGTTGGGCCTGCGGGGGCTGCTTTAAATAGCCCGCCCTGGGGTAGGGCAGGCCCAGGTGCACGTCCCTCCCTCCCCCCCCAGCCACCTGAGCGGGGCTGCTGCCATTGGCGGAGGGGTAATGAACCACCTCGCCGCGGATTCCCTGGCGGGGATCGCTGTCCCGGGAAGCCCGCGAGGAAAGCAAGTGGATGGGAAGAGCGGGCTAAGCCCGGGGTCCAAGGAACATAGCAGAGGTGGGAGGGGAGCCACCGGGCAACCACGGCGGCGGGGACGCAGAGCTTCAGGCAGGTCTTTGAAGCAAGTAAACCCCTTATTGGTACAACCCTCCTGGGTTCTCTCTGTCTCTTAAATGTCCTGAGTCTCCCTTCCTCTGTCACTTGAGTTTCACTCGCCGTGTGGGGGCCCTAGAGTCTGTGCCGCGCTCATGTGAGCTGAGGGGTTTAGCCGGAGGCTATGGAGCGTTTTCTTTTGAGCGGACCCGGTACATTGATTGATTGGTGATATTCCCACGGGAGAAGCAAGAGGCTGCGTGCCGCAGACAAACAGTAACAGCGCGGTGTCGGTGACGGAAACAACACGCGGGGGAATCCAGGGGCGCTGGAACAATGTGTTTAGCGGGGCTGCTGACAGCCTTCAACCAACTGTAAACCCTGTGTATGATGGAAACCACTTCAAGCCAGGGGGTGCGGGAGCACCCCCAGTTCCAGCACTTATGGCTGAATCTGTGAAGGAGGAAGGAACGCATGAATTCCTTGGCTGCTACTAAACATAAGAGCCAGGGACCAGGAAGTTTAAGAAGGGAGGATTTACCTTCCCTGCAGATAAATCGCTGCTAGATACATCGCTAGATAAACTAGACCGTTACTTGCACTTCCTTTTAATTTTTAGTTATCTTTGGAGGGATTTTAATTAGTGATTAATACAGCATTAATTCATCTTTTCCACGCATTTATCATCAGAACAATAGACAGGATGTTTTTTACAACTAATGGGATGCATGAAATTGAACGACACTTTACAAATATAATCTAATTTGCTCGTTTGTTCACATCACAAATTAACCCTTTCCGACAAAATGCTTCATTCATTAAGTAAGGCTGTCCCTGCCTTACTTAATTCACCAAAGAGCTTCTTCGTATGAAGATGTAGACTTATCTCCTTGTATCACATTGATTTTTGTACATATAAGGCTATATGTGGGGGAAAATATTCGCAACTGGCACAATAGTAAACGTATGGTCATTTTATACACTGGGAGTAGATGGGTGGGTTATGGAAGCTGGTCAGTACCCCAGCTGCCTGTTTTACTAGTTCCCAAAACATATCGCAAATACCATATAATATTACTGTAACTCAAGCGTCCCCTTCTGATGCTCTGTTGTCCATCTACAGTGCAGTCTGTGCAGGCTCCATCAGAATAGAATTGCGTTCTTCTGTAGTCACTGTGCCGTATGAGGTATCTGCCATTTCCTCCTCTTTCAGTTTCTTGTAAGAAATATCTGTGTCATCATCTTCATTTAGAGGATCTTGTTTATAGGTATCTCTTCCGTACATCTTGTACACTAACACAAAAATCCCTGCTTCTGCAGCCTGGAAAAGTGCATAAAGCAAGGGAAACATATACATACTTCCTATGAGGTGTGGTGGAAAAGTTAGTTTCAGTATAGCCGTGCAGAGCTGGACATTTTGACATCCTGTTTCCAAGGACACTGTCCTCTTGCAATGAGGTGGCAGGTGAAATAAAGTAGCTAAGCCATATCCTGAGGCATAGCCCGCTAAGGGCATCAAGATTGCTACTATGTAGACAGACGCAGGGATACTTGCCAGCAACTCAGGTCCCAACATAGTGCCAGTCAGAATGAAAAGAAGCACCAAAGTCACTAAAAGGGACCACAAGGAAACCTAACAATAATGAATAATCACAATCAGATATGTCAGAGAAAAAAGAAGGGAAAACTTACATTAGAGTGGTTTAAAAGCAAATTAATTAAATACACAATTATTAAAATAGTGTTTAAACTATATATTTGTTTTAAAAATCAGCACATTTTATTGTAGCAGTTACAGCAGAAGCTTTTCCTTATATGAATAGTGAACAGACTAAATGTTATTGACAGACATTGAAAAAGACCACTCTGCTTAATTCCAAATTCCTGGGAGTTTGTCATACCCTTAGCATTTCTAACATAGAGCTTATTGTAACCTATCCACTGATGGACAGATTCTGCTACCCTTTCTTACCTTGGACCTGATCTAAAATTTCAGTGGACTTTGAATCAGGCCCAAGGTGAATAAGGGTGGGGGAAAATCTGTCTCTTAATTAGTTTTTAACAGTATAACTTGTTCGGGATACTTTCTCAGAAAGACAGTAACAATCTGCATTAATGTGTGTAAATTTTCATTTAAAAAGAAAATGAAGCTAAGTCTTATTTTTGCTATAATACTTTAAAATATTACTTTAAAAGTGTAAATTGGATAAACTATTTAAAGACACTTGATCTTGCCTAACAATGTGTATGTCAAGTTTAAGCCTAAAGGAGATATAAACCATCCAAACTGACAGTTAAAAAGGATGGTACCAGTTCTGAAGTAAGGTCTGATCCCATTGAATTCAATGGCAGTTATATAATTTACTTCAATTGGTGTAAGATTGGGCCCAGAGTTTGGGTCTTTTTAGTTTAGTGTATTCTGTGCACGCTGCAACCATTGAGTGATTTTTGCAGTATTAACTGGTTGTGTGCTGAGTGGCTTTACTTTACCTTCGAGCATGTTTTGCTTGAAAGTTTACCTTAATTTTTAACTTTCATGTTTTGTTTTTTGATGAACAGAAATATTCATTTCACTATTGTTGCTTTCAACATAAATATATGTTTAAAGGCTTTTGTAATAGTACTTCAATCAGGTAATTCTCTTCAATTATGGTTAGTAGTCTCCACAGCATGCTTTCACTTTTCTATCCCCATGAATTCCCTTTCCTCAAACCTTTCTCTTTCCCTTTGTTGCACGTAATAATATTAGTTAAAGGTAATAAGATTGTACATTTCTGTTGTTCAGTAAGACCATTTTTTTTATTTGTCCTCATCCTTCCCTAAAACACTGGGTGTAATACTGGTACCTTTGCTTATTTTGTTGAACCTTCGAAATTATTTTCAAATAACATGCACATAAACGTACTTTAATGTTATTTTTCTTAGTGACTTCCATACAAATTACTTGCATGATGAAGGTTTAGTCAGAAATATAGAAATTGGTTGTGCCACGATTGATGAAAAATGCTTATTGAAAATGTGTATATTTCCAAACAAAGAAATAATTTAGAAAACAGTAACTGTTATCTTTTTGTTTTAATTATCCCAAATTAAGATAGTTGTACGTGTTACTATTTTTGTTAGGAATTTACTGATTTTATTGCATGTGGGACTGAAGCTACTAGTTCTAATGTGGATATAGGACCTGATATATTATAACGTTATTTATTTAAAGCACATGCTTAGCAATGTTGTCTCATAATTAGAAATATATTGAGCATTTATTTTGTGGTTTGATCTGCTCTTGTTGCATTGAAGAAATGGCATTGTCTGCCTACCTTTTATTTAGTGTTACTGTAGGGAAATATTGATTTATCCTTTGGTCTTTGTAAGAGAGCAATTTTTTTTTTTTAACAAAAAGTTACTTGTAGTCAACTCTAATCCTGCCTGTAACTGTTTTACAGAAAACAGCCACGCACGGGCAGTATTTTATTACTAGTTGACCACAATGGGCGCTTATACTTCCTCTTTGGAAAAAAGGAGATTCTGTTTAGAATTCGGAACAAGTCCTGGGGGTTTACACGAGTTTATGTGATGAGCCTTAATCCTATGATTTGAGTGATAACAATACAATACACGGAAGTGCTCAGTTTCTTCTACACTGACATGCAGTCCTGATGAAACAGATACCATGCACGTTCCTCTCCATGCTGGCTCCTCTACTCTTTAGTACTCACGACGTAGGGCAATATTTATGCAGTTTAGCAAGCTTTACCCGTCTCTTTATTGTAGATCTGTTAAATCTTCCCCCACGTGCATCTTTTCTTATCCTTTAACTAGACCATGTACATTCTATATCCTGAAGCAGCAGCGCCCATAGTGCGGCTCCGAGAAGCAGAGCCCTTCCCCACACCCCTATGACCACCCCAGCGAGAAGGAGCTCTCTAGGGGCACCTCGGTGTATGTAGAAGCGGGACCCGGCGCAGCTGTTGTTACCTTGAGTAAGAGATCGGCGACCCGTGTGTACTTGTAGCGGATGAAAACTCCTACGCCGATGGGGAGCAAAGTGCTGCATAGGGTCAGACTCACGGCCCCCAGGGGCAACAGCTGCACCAGAGGCGTGTTGATCCAGGCGCGGCTATATATCCACAGGCACAGGGGCATCAGCAGCAGGGCCAGCAGGGTGGAGGAGGCGGTCATGATAATACTGCAGGAGGGAGGGAACAGAACAACAGGCAGCGGGTCAGCACGAGCCGCTCTTCCATCAGCTGCTAGGGCGGGGGAACAATCCCGCCCCAGGCTCTAGTAAGAGCTGGCGATACAAATCCATTTAGTGTAACGAGGCACAAGAGCTCGGACAAGAGTCGCCCAGGGCGCAAGTAGCTGTTTGATTGCAAGAATTTCCCTTCAGTTACCGAGCAGGCTGGAGATGCTCGGATATTGGCCTGAATATGGGTTGGGGGAGGGGTATTGCCTGCTGTGTTTTTCTGTGAAAGGAAGATTATATTTTTGCATGTAAAACCTGCCTGCCTTAGGGGGTCGTGGAGCACAAACAGATAATAATTGCAAGTGCTCAGCACGAGTTGGGCTCCTCGCATCTCCCAGAGGCGCGCAGCCAGCGCGGGAGACAACAGCGCAAGAGCTCAGCGTCCTTTTGTCCCCCCCCCCCCAAATTCCCCTGATGAGATCGTGAAACCGGCTTCTCTGTCCCGGTACCCACGGGCCGCGCCCCGGAACAGGGGCAGCAAAGGCTGGTACAGACCTGATTATAAAATAGCAAATATTTTAAACAACCATAAACCCGACAGTCCTCCCGCAGCACGCACAGTCCACACCCACCCATACCCCGGCACTTCCACACGTCCCCCAGTCCGG